CCATTCGTGATCGTTTCGAATCGAATGAAATAAAATGGCAGCTGTTTTATCTGCAATATAATTTTAATTAAAAAAGCGTACTCGCAATCGAATGCTGCAATTTCAAAATTAAAATTCACATTGAGTTTATTTCGATCACAGATGAGGCGGTGATTCGTGCCCTGGTTTTGTTTAGCTGCCAACAGTGGCAGTATTCTCTTAGGCTTGAATTTAAAAGAATCTCACAATTTATTTATTTTTTTGTTAATTTATTTATCTCTACTTTCATTTCCATACATATTATGTATGTTAGTCAGCACGGACTTCTGATGCGTTTTACTTTTCCTCAAACGCTTAGCACTTCACACAGCAAGTAGGGAATATCGATTTGAAGGTCTGACGATTATTACAGTCCACCTGGTAGTCATTGCAGCTGGAAAAAGAAAAGAGAGTTCTTTAGTAAAGCCAAGTAAAACAACGTAGTTTAAGGCAAGAAACAAAAAACAAGATTTAAACATATGTACATATTAAAGCGATTGCCTTGGATTCGAACATTTGGAGTAGTGGATTGTATTTTCATATAAATTGTCGATAATTTCTAGGCTCTTTAAATTTAGGCATTCCCTGTTGTGTACCGCTGTTTATTTCATAAACTCGAAAAAATATACTTTTATTTAGGTATATTTACTGAGAGCAGTCATGAGTTGCCCCGGTGCCTTTTTCCATGACTATCGATTTTTCATACTTACGAAGCTGAGATTGTATCAGGGTGTGGGCCTGGTCAAGTCACGAATTAATGATACCGTTCATCAGGGTAATCAAAGTTTGGAATTATCATTCGGCTCACTCGCGAACAGCAAGCACTTACACTGGCGTTCAAAAGTGGAGGAATGGTATTTTCTTTTTATTATTTAGAATGTTTATCAAGCTAAAATTTGTTTGTTATATTTTTATAAAAAATATGGTTCATGCTTTAGCAAAAACCACATAAATCAAACTTTTAGACTTTTACAGAATTTAGTAAAATTTCACAAATTTTAATCTAAATGTTGAACTTTTTAACCAGAATTTTTAAAACATATTTGGGCATGCAATTAAAATGTTTATGCAATTTTAGTAAAGCAAGTGCAAGTTTTGAGCGGCTAAAAATCGCATTGATTTCTAATATTTCTTCTTTTTTTTTTGTTGACGGCATTTTGCATTTTTTTCCATATAAACATGATTTTCCTAAATTTCCTTATTTATATAAAAAAATGCAAAAGCCGCTAGATGCTCTAGGAATATTTCTGCATTAAAAAGAAAATTTTGAAAAAAATGTCGCTTACGTTTTTTTGGCGGTTAGGGCTCGATTTGTTGAATGTTCCGATGTTCTGCATAAAGTTTGAAAGTTTGATTTGTATGATTTTGTTAAAGCATTATAAACCACACTTTTATAAAAAATAAAAAAAAAATTTAGCTTGAAGAACATTGTCAATATTAAGGCAAAACACCATTCATCCACTTTTGATCGCAAGTGTAGCTAGCCATAATTCTTGAAAATACTCGTTAAAGATTCACGGGTCATAGCTACCAATACCTTTTTCTGATATCTTTCGAACAATTTCGTCTTTAGTTTATATAAGTATATAGTTTTTCTGTAAACTTTTTTTAAGACCACAAAGATCCAATATGATATCTCGCGAATAGTTTTAGCTCGTCCAAGATCCTATGTAAATAATCCGAATTATTAAAGGGAGGATCCTAAACTGTCTGGGGCTTGAAATTCACACAGAAAGATTTGTATGGAA